GGAGACAGACCCAAAAAGACCTGTGGGTGTGTTGAAGGTGTTCTGGAAAATGCGGACTGGATTCAGGGAACACTGGTGCAAAATAATGGAATGGATCGTTTCAATCGGCGAAACTGGAAAATACGGACCAGATTATTTTTTTTTTACTGGATCGGCAGTCTGGATCGGCATTTTTACATGCTTTGCCGATACGCATTTTTTTGCCAATATCTGCGTCCGATACGTGGATCGGATCGGGACAAGCCTATATGAGTATGCTATGTCAATCATTTATAACAGTTGAATCATTAAAGCTCATAATTGTAAGCTGATGAATCTGGTGTGTGTATGTATATATATATATATATATATATATATATATATATATATATATATATATATATATATATATATATATAAAGCAATAACCATTTATCTCAGCTTCCTTTTGCAATGTAATACATACACAAAGACAAGAAGGAACTGGAGTATTTTGGCATTAAAGCCTGTTATAAGGCTCCTCTCCTGTGGAACCAACTACCAGTTTTAGTCCGTGAGGCAGACACCCTGTCTACTTTTAAGGCTAGACTTAAAACTTTCCTTTTTGATAAAGTTTATGGTTAGAGTGGCTCAGGTTATCCTGAGCTATCTCTATAGTTATGTTGCTATAGACTTAGACTTCTGGAGGACATAGGGACCCCCATTTCATCATTCTGCTACATTCTATTTCTATTCTCCCACTCTGCAGAATCTGTTAGTTCAATCTTTAACGTTCTGCTCTCTCTGCTTTTTCTCATATTAGCTTCGCATCGTCTGTTCCTTTTTGGCAGTGAGAAATATCAGCTGTCATGTTGCCATCATTTGTTATAGATGTTGGATATCTGCCTGTTTTTCCAGTGTAGTCCTGTTTCTCTGACTGTGACTGGGTGGATGTGCTCTCTTCATCCTCTGGCATGGGAGCTGGCTCGGAGCTCATCTGCCTGGCTGTGTGTTTCCTGGACGGGGCCGCCTTTTACAGCTGCTTTTTGTGTCTCTGCTTCTGTCTCCTTGAACCCCAGTCGGCCTCTGCAGATGGCCGCTCACACTGAACCTGGTTCTGCTGGAGGTTTCTTCCTGTTAAAAGGGAGTTTTTCCTCTCCACTGTTTCTACAAGCATGCTTAGTGTGAGGGATTGCATTCAAGTCAATGAGTCGATACAATTAACTGTTTTTTCATAGATAGAAAGCTTTGAATCAATTTGACTGTATGATCTGGTGAACTGTAAAGTGCCTTGAGATGACGTGTTGTAAATTGGCGCTATATGAATAAACTGAATTGAAATTAATGTTAGATTTTGTTACATAAAAAGTACAAATGAAATGTCATAATTACAACTTATAATGCATTATCTCGCAATGTTTATTACTTATAAGCAAGATAAACAGACAAACTTATCTTACCGCACATCTACCTTAATATGGGTTACTACAAAATCAGTTTAGTTTTGTTTAATTAGAACATTTTATGCAAAATTAACAGTTTGTATAGCTGAAGTAAGAAACTGCAATTTCAAAGACAAATAAGCCCAAAGGTATCGTATATCTAATATTTCAGTTTTTTTCTTTTTACATTTAATTTTAGATAAATTTGGTTTATTTATATGGCACCAATTCACAACACGTCATCTCAAGGCACTTTACAGAGACATTTCAATCATATCACAATCAGATTTGGTTCACAGTTTTCTATCTAAGCAAAACCAACTGATTGTATCAACTCATTGACTCTAGAGCAATCTGTCACACAGAGGATGTTAATTAGTTTTAATA